ATTTTAATTTGAAGTCTATTTTATTTGATGTTAGGATTGCAACTCCAGCCTGTTTATGGGGGCTGTTTGCTTGGTAGATTTTGTTCCAGCCTTTCACATTGAAAATATGTTTGTTTTTATGGGCAAGATGTGACTCAGAAGTCATATAAAGGATTCGTGTGGTATATCTGTTTTTAATGTATGGAGGAAGCACTATACTGTCTCCATAGTGAGTAGTCTGATCTGTGTGATCTCTACTGTTCCTGAGGAATCACTGTTCTATCTCCATAGTGAGTGGTCTAATCGGTGTGATCTCTACTGTACATGAGGAAGCCCTGTACTGTCTCCATAGTGAGTGGTCTGATCTGCCCTCTTCTTGGACTACAAGTGATGGAGTCAGCCGTCCCAGCTCCTAAGAGACTCTTCAGTGTCTTTATGCTGAGAGCTGTTAAGAGAGCAATGCTTACTAAACAAATTAGTGCCTGCTGCAATCAATTTCTCTCCCATTTCAGGACTTGGCAACATAATGAGGAAAATATTCTGCAGATGAGCAACACTCCCTTTCTGACCTTTCCCAGCTCTAAATCACAACCTCCATCACAGGCTGTGTGCAGCTAGTGCTGCTGTCTGGTGAGCAGGAGCAGCTCCTCTCAGAGTTGCTGACACCTTCTGGATGTGGTTTCCTCACCGTGTCTTGCACAGTAGTACACGGCCGTGTCCTCCGCCTTCAGGCTGCTGATCTTCAGATGTGCTGTGCTGACAGAAGTCTCCAGGGAGAAGACAAATCCTCCTTTGAAGCCCTCAGCATAGGTTGGATTTCCAGTGTAAGTGTTGATCCACCCCATCCACTGCAGGCCACCTCTTGGCTCCTGCCTCACCCAATTAATACCGTAGCTAGTGAAGGTGTATCCGGAAGCCTTGCAGGAGACCTTCACGGCTTCTCCTGGCTTCTTCAGCTCAGGCCCAGACTGCACCAGATGCACCTGGGAGTAGGTACCTGTGGAGGAAACACTGGAGTTAGGGCTGGGAGCTCCTCGGAGTCCTCGGCAGCCCTGGTCTGGGGTCCTCACCTGGGGCCACCACCAGCAGGAGAAGGAGCCTCCACATCCACTCCATGCTGTGAGGATGTGGACCGAGTGGCTCTGGAGACTGGAGGTATGTGTCAGAGGAGCCTGGCCTTTCTACTCTGTGGACCTGGGAGATTTGCATATGGCCCTGCCCTTATCATCTTCTGGGCTAATCTGCTCCATGGACATTCTGACTCCTTACACCCAGGCACAGATCCCACCCCAGCCGAAGTGCAAATGGCCTCTCTGGTGGGTGCAAAATCCCAGTATTCTCATGAGTTCCCTTCCTCCTGCTTGATGTCAGATCTATGAACTGGGATGGTGGGACCCAGTCAGCCCCAAACCACCACCACTCAGGACCCACAGCCCCCCTGGCCCACGAATGGCTTTCCACAAGTCATGAGTGGAGGAGGTGAGAGCAGGAGGGAGAACCGATGATGTCATCTCCTTCTTAAGAACATCCACCATTTCCCGATGGCCAGGAGTGTCCACTGTAGTTTCAAATGAATCTTTGCTGTCTATGTAAGGACAGCATCCTGACAAGCACACTGAACTTCCTTCAGTTTAACCAGCAGCACTTTAATCCAGGGTGTGTGGTATCTCCTCTTCCTCCTTCCTCTGTGTCACTTGGGTATGACCCGAGGGCCTCCATGTTGGGACTGACGGCACATGCAGGGAACAGAGGCCGGTCACAGGTGCTGGGGGATAATCAGGGAGAAAGCAGTGTCTCCTTTTCAGAGACCAGAATTCCAAACCTGAGCTTCTCTTGAGCTCCTGGTCAAGGTCCTGTGTCCTCAGAATAAAGTTGACCCCAAAAAGAAGAAAAGTAACCTGTCAGAATATATCCGGTTTTCCTGGACTAATTGAACAGAGGAGCTACTTTTCACCAGGCAGTATGTTTGCCCTTGAGCCATGCTTGGGACTCTGTTATAAATGTTTACTAGTGATTAGTGATCACATAACAAGGTTTGTAGCAATATCTTCATATATTCCCACATTTTGCCTTCATCACAGTGACCTTTCTTATCTACCCGTCTTCTCTTTTCCCCCATTAATGGTTCCATGATTCTACTCTAATTCATGCATACAGTGCATTTGTTGTCCATTTCTTTCTCTGTGTACAG